GTCAAGATTGATCATCAGAGGCCGCCAGGAGCTCTACAGCCTTTACCTATACCGGAGTGGAAATGGGAGAGCATTTCTATGGATTTTGTGGAGGGATTGCCTAATTCTTTCAACGATCACAATTTCAATATAGATAATGGGAGAGCATTACCTATATAGTACTTGTCAGGTGGTCAAGATTGATCATCAGAGGCCGCAAGGAACTCTACAGCCATTACCTATACCGAAGTGGAAATGGGAGAGCATTTCTATTGATTTTGTGGAGGGATTGCCTAATTCTTTCAATGATCACAATTCCATTTGGGGCACCATGGATAGGTTGACTAAATCAGTTCATTTCTTGCCTATTCGCACTGACTTCACTTCGGAGCAGTTGGCGAGACTTTACATTACAGAGATTTTAAAACTGCATGGAATTCCGTTGTCTATTATATCGGACGGGGATTCGAGCTTTGTGTCAGGATTTTGGAAGAGTTTTCAGGGGGTTTTATGTCGCCTGTTTGTTGGATGGAGGTTGGCGAGAGCAGATAATTAGGTGCTGAGTTCATTTGGGAAATTTCTGAGAAGATTGCTCTTATTAGGGATTGCATGCGTGCTGCCCAGAGTCGGCAGAAGAGTTATGCCGATCGTCGCACTCGTGCTTTGGAGTTTCAGGTTAGGGATCCGGTTCTGCTCAAAGTGTCTCCTAAGAAAAGTGTCCACTTTGGGAATAAAGGGAAGTTGTCACCGGGTTTGTTGATCCATTTTGGCACTTCCGGATAATTTGGATCGCGTACACAACGTGTTCCATGTTTCCATGTTGCAGAAATTTCTGCGAGATGATGATCGGTATTAGTATATCAATGTTGGGGAGATTGAGTTGCAGGCAGATGCAACATATTTGGAGCCTCTATATTGTATTATTGATAGTCGAGATCAAATCCTTCGTAATAAGGTTATTTGGTTCGTGTTCCGTGGAGTCATCACAATGAGGCTGAGTCTACTTGGGAACGGGAAGATGTTATTCGCTCGCTGTTTCCTGAAATATGGGAAGAAGGTAAGAGCGAATTCCGGGGACGGAATTCCTTTTGTTAGGGAGGAAGAATATCATATTTCTAATTTTAAAAGGATAGTTCTGGTATTTTAATTAAGTATTTTGTTACATTTTTAATTATTTTAATTGTTTATTTGCTTGATATTTGAATTAATTAAATTTTTATTTGTTTAATTGAATAAATTGACTTAATTGTAATTATTTGAAGATTTGAAGTGTTTGCATCAATTACATTATTGGATTTAAATTGTTTAATTGTGTGTCCTTAAGTGGTTTATTATAATTGTTTAATTATGTAATTAAATTAAATGAGTTTTTAAATACGTTAATTACTTAGGGTTCTTTTAGAAGTCATGTATGTGTAGCCGACATAGATTTTAACTTAGGTTTAGTTCTATGGGCTGACTAGGATTTAATTAAGGTTTTGTCTCTAATTATACATGGACTGGGGTTCTGTTTTAGCATATATATATATAATAGAATGGTCTGCAAGGGTTAGCAAAACTCTTTTCATGTACCTAGGATATTGAGAGAAAACAGAGTAAGGTTGTGAGAAGAACAGAGAGGTTATGGTCAGGGTTTCGGCTGTGGATTAACGGACGGACCTAGGAGGAGGGAAGGTTGAATAGTAGAAGGTTGAGTTGACAATAGACGGACGTCATCGGAAAGCTTAGATAGACGACGACAAGGTTTTGGTTACAAAACTACAAAGGCAAATTCTTTTCTTCCTCTCTCCCTTGGCCTGTGTTCTATGCATACCTAGAGGATCTCTAAGATGTTAAATGAATATTAATTGAACCTTACATGTTTAATATATGTCAATTTGATTGTCTGTATGGGTTGAACTTTGTCTGAAATAATTCTTGCAACTTTGTTCTTCGTCGTATGTTTTAAAGCATATAAATTGGTGTTGTTTTAAATCGATGTATTAGTTCTTACTGTGGCAAACTAAGGACTGGGGGTTGGTACTGGATGTATACTAGACTGGTAAGATAGTTTTGAAGAAGAACAGAAGGGTTGGAAGAGGCCGGGGACGAATCAGATGGTCGGAAACGGAGGAGGAGTGGACCAGAACTCTCAAAGAAGGAGAGAGCCGGCTCCAGGAAGTTGGGAGCCGGCTCCCCCCTTCATAGAGCCGGCTCCCCCCTTCATAGAGCCGGCTCTAAGGGCTAGGGAGCCGACTCTGTTGGTTAGAGAGCAGGCTCCCTTGTTTAGCTTTGTTTGGACGTGATTCTGGAATAGTTTTGGCACTGTTTTGGATGTCTTTGGGATTCTGAATTGTTTCAAGGACTGGACTGAGAATTTTAAAAGTAATTGTAAGGGATTTTAAACTCTCTAATTGCATAATTTGATCCATAGAGCAAATAGAATAAACAGTCTAAAAATAAGCAACTTTGCATGCTTAAACGGATAGGAAGGATTAAATTGTTTAATCTGATTTTAACAATTTAACGGATTATAGCATGGACTCTAAACATGTTATTATGCTATATTAGGACCCACTATGTATGAATTATCTCTATATGCTAATGGTTCTCACAGTGTGGAAGTTTTAAGCAATGTCGCACACTATTGACGGATATAACGTATTTAGTTGCTTAAACTCATTTTAGCAACTTAGATGACTGGAGTATTACTTCTAAATTTATTTTGGAGGTATAATAGAGTTTTATACATATTAGACTTTATTATATTTCTCTTGGATTTTAATTAAAGAATTATTAAAATATATTCTGTCAATTACATGTATGTGTTGGATTATAATTGCTGAATTCTTATATTAAATTCTGTCAATTATCTGGAATTATGTATTGGATTATAATTGCTGAATTCTTATATTAAATTCTATCAATTATCTGGATTTGTGTGTTGGACTATAATTGCTGAATTAGTACACTAAATTCTGTCAATTATATGGATATTGTGGATCGTATGCATCGGTATGGGACGGTGACATATTGGGATGGTTTAGCTCAAAATGCTAAAACCTACCCTATTGGAATAAGGGAATGGATTGTAAAAATTGAATCTTACTTATATTTAGGTCAAATCAACTGAGTAAGTTGAGTGACCACCTAGATCAACTGTTGGTTGTAGTTAAGTCATATCAACTGAATAAGTTGAGTGACTAACTGGTTTATGAATCGTATGTCAGATCAATAAACATTGAGTGACATACTATAGTTTTGGACGGACTTTAGATATATGATTATGCTACCACGATGTGAGCTTGAGTCTCATAGTCGATGGTTAGGGCGCGTATATGCAGTGGATGTGTAACTGGCTATGATAGGTTGAGGTGTACCCTGTTAGGTCTAAGTACTCATGCCCACATTTGGGTGCGTTTTTGCATGTTGCTTTCTATTCAGGTTGAGGCCCCCTTCGTAGTCTAGTGAATGTCCCTTAGTGTGGATATATATGTATTTATGGGCTAGATAGATAATGTGAGATATCTAAGATGTATTTGCGTATCAGGTCATTGTATGGATTGCAGTTAGATTAGAACTTATTCGTGGGCCTGACCCACTCTATATTTTTTCAGGTATCGGACGGTTCCAGTCTTAGGCTTAATCGTGCTGAGCAGAGACTATCATTCACTTTACCGACAATGTAGGGTTTCATTCCATATTTTAGATTTGGTTTTTAATTCCAATTATTATTTTATGTTCAGTTGGTATTTGATTCACTAGATGGATTCCCGAGTTGTACTCTTGGAGGTTTTGGAGAGTTGAATTTTATAAAACTTTAACTTTGCAGGATTTTATATTTAGTATTTCTTTCAGCTTTATTCTATTTCTTATTTCATTTTTATATTCTGTGTTCGTTTTAAAATATTAATTGCTTGATATTTCCCTCGGGTTCGGGCTTAGGCCTGATCAACCCGTGTCTCGAATTCGAGGGGTATCACACAGTACATGTCTTGAGTCAAGTCATGGATAAACCACACTTACCACACCTTGATGCGGCTCATAGAGTTTTGAGATATCTCAAACAAACACCATGCCAAGGAATTTTTCTATCAGCCACAAGTCCAATCCAATTAAGAGCCTTTAGTGATGCAGATTGGGCACATTGCAGGGACACTAGAAGATCAATTACTGGCTATTGCATATTGCTTGGTCAATCACCTGTCTCTTGGAAAACCAAAAAGCAAACAACGGTGGCTCGATCAACCTCCTTCACCTTATGTACACCAGTTCAAAATCGAACTGTCCAATTGCCAAATGGTAGCCATGGCATAGTCACCTGTTCAACTCTTCATATTGCTTCGAATCCAGTCTTCCATGAACGAACAAAACACATTGACATTGATTGTCACTTGGTTCGTGAGAAACTTCAAGAAGGCATGATATAAACAGCTCATGTTCGGACACTTAATCAGCCAGCAAATTTGTTTACTAAAGCACTGAGTTCATAACACTTTGAGGCTTTACTTGGCAAGTTGGGTGTCATTAACATACACTCCAACTTGAGGGGGAGTGTTAAAGGAAACAAAACTCAAATAACTTAATTTCAACAAACTCTATAATTATAGGATCGTATATAGTCAACTCTAGTGATTTTATTTTCCATATTTGTAATATGTAGATTAGGCAATTAGCTTAATTGTAGGCATTACTACATGAATCTTGTAAAATTCATTAAGAAATATCAAATATACAATTCACGTATTTCGTTTCTTCACAAGAAGGATAGAAAAATGAATGGAAGAGAAAGAAAGAAAGGATGGATGAGACATCCGTAAGAAAAATTGTCTTTCCCAAATTTTGTTTTGTTAGAAAGTAAAAAAAAATAATTCTTATATTTTTTTTTACCAATATACTCTCATTTTTTAATTTCTCTTTTCCACCCCTTCCCCACAAACACAAAAAAGTATCCATCCATCTTCAATTGAAATAGCAATAAATAACAATTTAGAGTCTTGTTTTTTTAACCTACGGTTTTACTAATTTAACCTCATCTATCTACGGAATTCCTTACTTTCCTTTTGTTCGAAACCAAACCCTAGAAATCCTATACTTTTCATCTAGCCGGCATTTTTCCAATCCCTCTACAATGGCGAGGAAGAGAAAAGCAGCACTGCCAAAAGTTGAAGTAGCAGAAAAGAAGTCAAAAGTAGTAGAAGAAGAACATGACACATCTGAAGAAGAAGTAGAATCAGAAGAGGAGGTGGAAGAAGAGGAGGAGGTGGAAGAAGAAAGCGAGGGTTCGAAAAGAGAGACACTTAGGAAACTTCTTGAACCCTTCGGCAAAGACCAGATCATTGAATTCCTCAAAGAAGCCGCGGTCAAGAACCGATCGATCGCTACACGAATCAACCAATCGGCCGAATCCGACCCTGTTCACCGAAAGATATTCGTCCACGGCCTCGGCTGGGACGCCACCACTGACCAAGTCCTTTCTATCTTCAAACAGTACGGAGAGATTGAAGAATGCAAAGTTGTCACAGACCAGGTCACCGGTCGAGCCAAGGGCTATGGATTCGTCCTTTTCAAGACTCGAGATGGCGCCCAAAAGGCCCTCAAACAGCGCCAAAAGAAGATCGGCAACCGAATGACCTCGTGTCAGCTCGCTTCCGCTGGACCCGTCCCGAGCCACCCTGTTCCGGACTCCACAGGACGGAAAATTTATGTGGCCAACGTAGGTCCCCATGTCAACCCCGATAAGCTTCGTTCATTCTTTGCTAGGTTTGGGGAGATCGAGGAAGGTCCCTTAGGGCATGACCCGGTTACTGGGAGACTCAAAGGATTCGCAATTTTCGTCTACAAGTCTGCAGAAGGCGGTAAGAAGGCACTGGAAGAGACTACAAAGGTCTTTGAAGGTTGTCAATTACAGTGTCGGCGTGCTGTGGAAGGCCTCCGGGTCAATAAGAATCAAACAACAGGTGTATCGGGTATCTCTAGTGGTGCCGCTGTACAGCAGACTGATGTTAATATTGTGAATTATGGTGTTGGTGTGAACCCGGGAATGTTTGGTCATAGTGTGAATCCGGCTGCTGTTCTGGTCGGTCAGACTCCTGGGATTGGTTTGGCAAATCCGGTGCTGGCATCAGCTTTGAATCCGACTGCGCTGGCCCCCTCACTTGCTACTGGGTTTTCTCCCTCGATTGGGGCAGCCGCAACTTTGGGATTCAGTGGAAATTATAACATCAATAGCATAAGCCCAAGTGTGATAGGTAGTTATGGCTCACAAGCGGCTTTGCAGGGTCTGGGTGCCTACCAGAGTGCTCAAATGGGACATTCTTCTGCTGGGTTAACGGTGGCTGCTGCTTCAAGGCCTCCATCCGGTTTTGGGCCCACAGGAACTACCTTACACCCCTACTTTGGCCGCTAGGTAACTGACTGAATATTTTATGTTATAAGTTCTTTCTTGCCATAAATTATAGTTATTTCCTTAAAGCTCTGTATTGGCTTGACTCTAAAATATTTGAAAACTGCCAGTTTCAATCCTCCCAAATAACTCAGTTCTCCATGAACTATGTGTATCAAAGGATTAGTTCAATCCAAAACTTGAGATGGTTGAAGAATCCTTTAGAAGAAAGGAGATAGAAGTAGTTTCTTATCATGTTTTTGATCTCACAGAGTGAAACATAAAAATAATTATAAAAAAATGGAACAAAAATTTCACACCTTGAAATGGAGCATAAAGGGACAAACAACTTTACTGGGAAGGTGTTTAGAGAATCCCCCAATGTTGAAGCGTCCTTCTAGTGCAGCCTTATTAGATGCTGTTCATGAACAAAACTCTCAACCTTACTAGCAATGAGTCCTAAAGCCTCAGAAGGATTCTTTACAGGAGAAATGGTTCACGTTATCACATATAAAATTAAATTAAGGTCCTTGGCAAAGTAAAAATGATATAAGAGGAGTCTTGAGGATTTCTATTGTAATTTGATTTTGACCTTCAATAATCAATAATATTACCAAAGAATTAATTGTTGTTTATTTTTTATTTTTTATTTTTTATTTTTCTCTGGTTAGGGATAGTTGTTTGGTAACGTCTTCTTTTGTTGAAAGTCGGTAGCATGAAGATGAACATTGTCTTGCCTATCATCTTGAATTATATTCCTAGAATATTGTAATGTATCTGTGTATGATATAAAGCATTTGAGCAAGAAGCAACCATATGGATTTAAGATAATCAAGAAACAACCACAAAACTGAAATAGACACAAACTCTTTAAGCAAGTCAAATTGGAAAGCATGGGACTTAGTCTAGCAAGCACACTCCGCTATGAAAAAGAAGAAGAAGATTATAACATTCTTGTTAGTTGCAAAATCTCCTCGAGTCATTGGTTAATTTACCTTTTAAGTATATACCGTTTTTGTCAGTCTAGACTACTCCTTGGAATCTACAATCCAAGTCAATGCATCAGCTCCTCCAAATAGTCTCTTAAAATTTGTTGGTAGGTAAGTTACTCACATGAACACCCACTATTGCCCCGAAGTAGGCTTAAACAACCTCCCATGTCGGAGGAGGAGGAGATACCACTTGAGCTAAAGGTTTGGCAGCAACTCACATTAGATTCTGTTGACTCAATTTCAAGTGTTTTGACTTCTTCTTTAGGAGAAATTTTGAGATCAATCATGTGATCGACCTTTTGTTCAAGAACTTCCATTCTCTTAACTCTTCTCTCATATTGAATTTGAGTGACCAATATACTGGGCTTCTCGTTTGAAAGCATCCTTTCAATTCAACAGTCTTAAGTTTTTCAAGTTGTATCTTTTTCTTCTTCTACCTTTATTATTATTATTTTTTTTTTCGGTAATTAACTTGCATCATATTTTCCTTTAATTTCACATATTCCACACTCACTAATCGTAGGGTAGATAGCTAAAAAAGTCTATTTTGGAGACCAATGGAGGATTTGAAGAATGTGCTTTTGCTATACATAGTTTTGGTTTACCATCACTCAATGCGGCATTCATGGCTTTGACCTTCTCTTTGGGCTTCTTTTTAATTCTAGTACTCACTAGCAATGTGATCTACAAGCATGGATACCTTTGCGTAGTGGCGGAGCCACATACATTCCAGTGGAGGCAATTTCCCCCATAGTTGTTAAAGGGGCACCTAGGCTCCAAAAATTCCCTAGGTGGCGTGACCAGCGTCAAGGCTCAGCTAGACTGCTAGAGTGACTCAACCTACTACAGGCCAAGCCACTTCAGTTAGGCTCACATAAAGCCCTCAGGCTTGCACTTTTTAGTAGGTTCCAGGCAAATAAAAGCACGCCTTTTTTATTTTAATCATTTATTCATGTTGTTTTCTTTTTTATATGATGACCATTAAACTAAAAAGTTCCATATCATATCATGATTGTATTTAATCATAATGGATCATATTGCTCAACCTTATGACTTCTTTGACAAAATTCATTAATATATAGTTAACATATTTGCATTTATTGCATTTAGTGTTTGATTCCGAATATTTATGATAATATATGTTTAAAGTTTATATGATTATAGTTTTTTTTATTGTTTTACCATTGTAATCAGATTTAATTTGGTTAATGCATATGAATTTGAAGGGATTTATGCGAATTAATCTACCTGATCCACTTAATTGATATACCAAAATTCCATTTTTAGAGAGTTTTTTATTAGTTGTGCTGCATATCTTTAATTGTTCTGATTGTATACTGATTTAACTGAATTCATATGCAAATTGAAAATACATGTGTGTTGATTTAGCTAGATATGTTGAAAAATTCTTATATTTTAATATTGACTAGGTTTTGTAGCATAATTTAACTATATTTATATTTAATACAAATTCTTATCACACATGGACCTTACACATTGGGCGTGGGCCTTATATTGTGCCTTGCGTTTAAGCTCCAGAAGACCTTTGGTGCCTTAGTGAGCCTTTAATAACTATGGTTGACCCTGCTGATTTTAATACTCTACATATATTATTTTGTAATTGTGAACTTGCCTCCACTTTAAATTGTTTAAAAAACGTTTAGCTTGGTTCCCAACATTTTCTTTTGTGAAATTTTTTCTTTAATTTTCAACTTCTCTATGTTCCCTCACACCATGTTCTCCTCTTCTAATTCGTTCGTCAATTTCTCTCTTTTACTCTCCCAATCTCATTGCAAAGCAAAAGCACAAAGTGGAAGAATTATAAAGTCTTTCATCAGTATATTTCTCAAGCCTAAATCGGTGTGCAATAAATTCTAATCCCTTTTGTAGCTAATATTGTTCTTTTTGCAAAATATGATTTTTAATTTTGAAAAAGAAAAAGGAGCAAGATTTTGTTAACATCAATAGATTGTTTGAGAAAAACATTTAATAGCATTTATAATGTTTATCATACAACACTTTCAAGAGATCAAAGTTCGTTGAGGACAATTAAAATTTATTGATTGGAATTCTTATAAATTAATATTTAAACCTTATTTTTTATTATTTTGGTTCAGCAATTTTTTATCTTATTATCGTTCATAATTGCGAGAAAGACTTCCTTGCACTGGTGATACTACAACCATCAACCAATTATATCTCGTCACATAAGTAAAAGTGCTTTATTTTAATGGGTCCTATCACAATGTGTCAATATTTAATAAGTTGGTAATTTCATGTCATTAATACAACAGGAGCAATAAAGTATTTCTCTATGATTGCCGCACTAAAGTGAATTTTTGGCTCCGCCATTGCTTCTACGTAGTCGTGTTTGTGTCGGAATCATGTTGAACACCAACACATCTTAAACAAGTTATAATTTTGAACACATGGCAGACACTTTTCGGGACATATTTTAACATTTTTTAAAATTTTTTTTATTTATTTTATAAGTGAAAAAAAAGGTACCTTCATAAGGGGAACGCATCCCGAGAGCTATACAAGGGCCGAAGCCAAAGAGAGGGTCCTAAGGACCCAAGTAACCCAAAAAATAGACGATTTCATCAAGAGATGTACAATTTCTCCCCATAACCCAACTAAAAAGAGATTTAATAATAGAAAATTCTAATGCCCTGATGGAGGATTCCTCTCCATCAAAAGATCTTCTATTCCGCTCTTTCCAAATCACCACAAAACGTAAAGGGGGGTCGCCCTCTAAAAATCACCACCGTGGTCCCCCACACTGTAATCTCCAAATATCAATCAAATCCCTTGAAGACAAACGCATAACCCAATGAATATTGAACAAATTAAAAATAAAACTTTAACAGTCATGAGCCATGGGGCAATGCAAAAGATAGTGATCCATAGACTCTCCATCATTCTCCCTTGAGGATAAGGCACCCAAATCAATCATCCATCTCCTATCTATATAAAAGGTCCAGTAGGCCAGAGACATCGTCCAACTCCCAATCCTGAAAAGCTCGCCAAAAGCGCACGTCCCATGTAAGCCTACCGCTGCTATCAAGCTGATAATAGCCTGCTACCAAAACATGTCTATCAACAACAATCCTGAAAAGTCTTGGGAACAAACAAGACAACGGGCAATCACCGCACCAAACATCTTCCCAAAATCGGATGTCTCTTCCCTCCCGCACTTTGAATCTAATGTGTTTAGAGAATTCATCCCAGCCCTTCTGAATAGATTTCCACACCCTCACGCCAAAAGCAAACCTGACCGATCTCGAGAACCATCCCCTTCTCTCCTCCCCAAAATGGCACGAAACCCTCCACAAATGATGTCTTTAGCTACTGAATCACCACAACCATTTACCAAGGATCGCCCTGTTGAAAGAGACCAACCTCCTAAACCCAAGACCACCCAAACGAAAAGGCCTGCAAACATGCTCCCTCCGGACAAGATGGTACTTAAACTCCTCCCCCCGCCGCCCCAAAGGAAGTTTTGTTGAAGACTCTCGAGTCTTCTAGCAATAGGGGAAGGAATTTGAAAGAGCGAAAGAAAATAAGTTGGAAGACTCGACAACGTACTCTTCACCAAAGTAACCTTCCCACTCTTTGAAAGATACTGCTTCTTCCACCCAGCCAATCTTCTCTTAAATCGCTCAATCACAGGATCCCAACTTCCCACCCTCCTTGACGAAGCACCCAAAGGCAGACCCATATTAGATATAGGGAAGGAACTCATCCTACACCCTCCTGAACCTACACCACAAGGACAAGCACACTCTTTTCCACGTTGACTTTCAAACTTAAGCCTGTCTGGAAGCAAACTAGAACACACCTCAAATATCTCAGTTGGGACACCTCCGCTTCACAGAAAACCAGAGTATCATCCGCGAACAACAAATGAGAGATCTCCATCTGCTGAATACCCATCCTGAAACCCCTGATAAAACCCAAATCCACTGCCTTCTCATCAACCTACTAAGTGTCTGCATCACAATAATAATTAGAAAAGGAGAAAGGAGATCCCCATGCCTCAAACCACGAGGACTACCAAAAATATCGGAGGGAGACCCATCCACCAACACATAAAATCTGATAGAGGAAATGCAAGCCTTGATCCATCTCTTCCATCTCTCTCCAAATCTCATCCTTCTAACAGAGGAAATGAAAGATGCATCCAACGAATTTTTGAACCTCCCATTTGAATGGAACTCATGAGAGGTGCCCATCACCTCAAGTCTCACTACACCCCAACTTTCCAATAAAAACCTTATTGTGAATCCGTCCGGGCCTGGATATTTGTCACCATTGCAGCTCTTCAGCACCTCCTTTTAAAGATTTGACGTGAATGTGTGCATGTCCTGTGTCCTGTGTCCTGTGTCCTGTGTATGACCTACTTTCTCTGACATCATATATCAGGTTGATATTTGTTCAGATTGTACTTCCTGTTTTTCCAAGACAGTTTGATTGACCTTGTTTTTTGTCCTTTATTTATATTTTTGTTGTTCTTTATACTATTGGATTTTTTAAACTTACTAGTGAAGCTATTTCCTCGTCACTAAAAGAGGCTCTCATCATGGGATGAATTAAATGCTACTTTGGAAGTTTTCGGGACTATTTCCTTATTCATCTTAGGTTGTAGAAAACTACTTTGGAAGTTTTCGGGACTATTTCCTTGTTCATCTTAGGTTGTAGAAAATTAAGTTTTTAAGTCTGAAGGCAGCCTACCAATTTTCATTTTTAAAAGAGTCTTCTTTACTTTGATAGCTAGCATTTAGACCTTTATTATTATAACTACTCAATTTATAAATTTCCTTTGTTAATTGATCCTTTTTTTCGGATTCCACTCTTCTTTGGTTAATCTCTCACTACCACAGAGGGATGTCCCCACCACGGTTGTCAGAATTAAATTTCTTTTGTTCATTGATCCTTATGTTCTGATTTTACTCTTCAACTTGGTTCATCTCCTACTACCACAGAGGGATGTCCCCACCACGGTTGTCAGAATTAAATTTCCTTCGTTCATTGATCCTTATGTTCTGATTTTGCTCTTCAACTTGGTTCATCTTATACTACCACAGAGGGATGTCCTCGGCACAAATTCTCCAACACTAAAGACATGTTCGTCAATTGATTCCAAAAAGGCTCTTATCTTACCTTTCGAATCAGGATAGTTATTGTCATAAAAAAGCAGGGAACAACTAGCAAATCAACCTTTATCATTCCAAAAAGGCTCTCATCTTAATTTTAATTGAATAGTCACTTGATTTTTTCAAAAATTAAGTACTGAATTGAGTTATCAAATAACACAAGAAATAGTATAATCTTTGCCAACTCATAATTGACCTAGAGGAGGGTGAATAGACTTCCTTTCAAATCTTATTTGATTATTTTTTTATTTTCTTATCTTGACGAATTATTCATTCTCAATTTGAAACGACAAATTAACATGCACAAAATCAAAATAAAGACATAAGAATTTTACAAGTGGAAAATTCAAAGTGAAAACCCCGGGATCCAGTATGATAAGCACTCCACTACTAAAATCAAAGAATTTATGGTAATGCCATTTTTAGATTCTCCTAGAATTACCGGCGTAATGGTTTAACAACAAATTTTGCACTGGATTACTAACACAACGAGATAAGATAGGAGCAAATATCATTCTTGTTACGCAAATGTCATGTAGATCTCCAAGAATTATGTGATACACATGCTACTTCTTTCTTAAAAGCTCCAAAAGTAAACCTATGTGTTAAGATGTATGCAAAACTTTCTAAAGTGTTCTGAGTTTATGAACAAAAGATGCAAACAAATTGTTACAAGTGTTGGCTTGATTAGGACAGATAACATCTAGCATTGATGGCAAGTATGGTAGTGTTGCTGCAAAAGTTTCACCCAATATCAGTGGTGGTTTTTGTATCTTTGAGTTTGACTCGATCTTTATGGTGATGAAGCCTTGAGCCCTATCACATGATTTGACTGTGAAACAGAGTTGATGCAACATTGGAGAAGATTTGACTGGCTTCATAAATTTGGAAAATTTATGCTTGCTTGAACTCTCTCTGCAATTTAAGATTTGGTATGCTTGGATTTTGTCTAGGATTTGAATGTGAAAAAAAACATAATATTTGTTAACAGCATCGTCTTTGGCTGGTGGACAGTGCTATTGTATAAGCATTTTAACGAAGTCTATGTACTTTGAACACAAAACAGTACTTACAGGTGGCATCTCTTTTAAGGCTTTTATTTCTAACATAATTCATATTTTATTCTTTTGTTTTTCAGATGCCACACACACACACACGCACAAAATAAAAAAATTTAATAAATAAATTCTCAGGCAAATCTACTTTCTGTTTTTGCCTTTATCCTATTCATTCTCTCTTCAGCTTAAGTTTCACCTCTAGTGTTAGTTAACATCATCAATGATTATAGTACTTTTGTGATGGCTAGGAAATTTGCAAACTGCATTATTGGCCTTTTGACTTGGTAATGTTTACTCTGAAATGTAGAGGTACCAAGGAATTTGTGGTTCTTCACACTTGAAGGGGATTGCTGAATCACTTGTCATTCAAGAGCCGGAGATGCGATTCTTAAGTTTAACGTCTAGGGTGGTGGTTAATGTCATCTTGGATTAGAGTTATTTTGTGATGGCTAGGTAGTTTGGTGGCTGCATTATTGGCTTTTTTGACTTGTTTATGTTACCAAGGCTGTTGTGGCTCTTCACACTTGAAGGGGATTGCTGAATCTCTACTGGGTGGTCATTGAAAAGCAGGAGGCCTCATATTATTAGCCTAAACTATGAAATATCTCTCAGGGAACACCTTTGTTATTTTGTTTCTTGTTTAAACTTCTGTTGCTTTGAGTATTCTCTCTCTCACCCCCCACCCACCCACCCCATATTATTAGTTGGTCACAGATCCCGAGGCAGCTGACCAAACAAGGCTCCTGCCTGTTCGATTACACGAATTCACACTCTCCTTAGCCCATTCAAACTTAGGGCCCTTAAAAACTTGGTGATTAAATTTGAAATTGAATATGGCCCTTTACAACTCAGGCCCTTGAAAACTTGGTGATTAAATTTGAAATTGAATATGGCCCTTTACAACTCAGGGCCCTTGAAAACTTGGTGATTAAATTCAAAAATGAATGTGGCCCTCTACTACTTTATGTGTATCTTAGTGTGTATTTCAGTAGTTAACTCTTAAGTTAAATGCGGTCTTTTACTAATTTTATGTGTTAATATGTATGTATGTCAGTAATTACTTTGAAATTGAATGCAGTCTTTTATTATTGGGGTAGATAATATATTTTTTTACGAAAGTGGAATAAATATAAGTTAGTTATGTATTACTTATATAATTGATTTGATATCGTAATGTCTCAGATTTTTTGACATTTTTTATTTAAATTTTCCTTGTCTCGTTTAGCATGCCACGTGGGTCGTTCGGGGCATTTTCTTGAACTCAGGAGTTTTAGATATGTATTTTGAGTATTTTTAGCATGTTAGAATTTACGGGATTGATTTTAGAGTTAGTCGGAGTCGGGACGACTTTTGTGCTCGGGAATTTCTCCCGATTTTTTCCATTTTTGTTTAAATGTTGTATTTGACATGATTTATATATATGTGCGTATATATATAATGTAGATATTTTTGGGACAAGTTAGGAAGAAGAAAGTCATTTAGAGGGCAATGGAGTAACTTTAGCACCAAAGGATTTGAGTAACTTTAGCACCAAAGGACCACCAAGTGACACTTGGCACCATGAGGGCCACATATGCAATTTGAAGACTTTGCCAAACCCTTCTCCTTCTTCCATTTTCAGCCATCACCTCTCTCTCTACAATTTCTTATTCTCTGTCTATATCTTTGTATACACACATGTATGCATCTTGCCTCAAGCTTCAAGCTCACTTTTGAGGCATTTAGAGTTGCTCAATCTCGCCTCGGTAAAGTCGGTTAGTAGATTTTTGGTGTGAGTTGGGTCGGTTTGGGACCAAGGTTGGGACGGTCATGCATTGCATTGCATTGCATTTTCATGCAATCGGATGAGAAATTGTGTAAATTATATTGTTTGAATTGAATTGTGATTTGTTTTTCATAAAATCCCCATTGTATGCTCCCGGACTCTATTAAAACCCTTTTATATATTCTTTGACTCAAGGGAGTCTAAAGTTGGTGCCTTTGGCATCTCCTACTGAGCCTTAATGCTCACATTTTCTTCTAATATTTTCAGGTCATGGCAAATAAATCATGGACGACGTACCACTGCAAGTGTAGGCGTGGAGGAAGAATTCGTCTTTAGTAACTTTTGTAACAATGCTTAGTTGATGGCTAGTATTTTTTATAAAGATGACCTTAAGAATCTCAAGCATGTATCTCTATTCTTTTGGGACTACTTTTGACGTATTTTGAAAAGAAACAATGTTTAATGATGTATCCCGATATTGTAATTCAGTGTTTGATGTTGACGACGGCTTATTTATCCCTGCTTGTGAGCTGGGACAAGTTACTGAGGTCAAAATGCTCGAAGACGCGAATTGGAAAGAAAAAGGGCAAAAACCCCATTTTCTGGGTTCCTCCAAGCGCTCGGACCATTGGGCTGGAAATTCCAGTGAGAAATTTCCAATACTGAGTGTTCGGAGGCCAGGGTCGAGCGCTCGGACCATGCCCAAGCCCTGCGCTGGGGTGCTCATGGCACCCTGTGAGCGCTCAGTGCTTGCGCTGGGGTGCCCAATGGCACCCTCTGAGCGCTTGAAGGACACTAGCTGAGCACTCGGAATTAGACTTTAGGGACTGTTTTTAGCGACGTTTTCCTTTGGTCTGGATCTTCAACGTAATGGTCCTATTTGACTTCCGCAATGTTTAGAATGACAGAACAACGTCTAATTGTGAACTTTATGGCTTAAATGACCATTTTAACCTTGTAAATCCTAGGAGGTCCGGCGAGAAACCGAAGTTGGAATCTTCACCCATTCATAAACCGATATGCTTAGAAACGGCTAGCAAGACTTCATTACGACTGTAGGTCACGTAATGACCTATTTGTCATTGGTGTTCTAAGGTTGGGTTAAGACCAATTAGCGATTTAGATCCCCCGGTTTTGGGTCGTTACCAATATAAAGGGGAAATGCTTGGGTTTTAGTTTGAAGTCATTTGAAGTTAATAAGAAATTCATAAAGGCAACATTCTACATTTCTTTCAAAAATTTAGAATGGGTTAAAAGTTCTAAAAGCGATACATTTGAAAACTTGAAAATCTTTTTGAAATTTACATTAACTTAGACATCATTCTAACTCTTTAGCTCATCTATCCCGTGAGGAGTGAACTAAGCATTTGACAAGAAGCATTTGTCAAGAAAATATATACCATGCTCTATGACTCTTGGTTGTCATGATAGTCGAAACTCGTACACCATGCTCTATGACTCTTGTAGGGTTCTCAAAACCCTTGTTTCGTCTACTAATAATATGTGGGTATTTCGAAACGTTTCAAATTCATGATTTTTGTATTGCTAACACTCATTTTTTTCATTTTTTTTTTTTAAAAAAAAAAAAAAAAATCCAAATAACAATCTTTAGTGGTTTTGCTGTCTAAACCAAAATTTTCTTAAAAATTATTCAAAAGATATTTTAAAAATTGTTTTAAAATATTTTTGTTTTCCATACCTAAAATACGTATATTCTATATCTAGGTTTCTAAAATCATTAAACTCCTTCCAAAACCCTAAAATTCATATATTTTAGGTTAAGGACATTAAAAATCAAAGATAAATAAAATTGCCATAGTTTCTTAAAAAGCATCTCAAACTTTATTTTACAATTCTAAACATACATGAAATTCTAAAATTTCATAATTTAGCATTAGGTTTCATAATAACCTAGAAATTAAATTTCTTTAGTCTAGGTTTAATACGTGTATGATGTGGCGCTCCCAGTGCGGATTCTGCCGCAACTTGGGAGTGATTGGCCGCATCATTCATATTTTGTTCGGGTGTAGTTCGAGGTGCGTCAGGGTTTAGAAGAACCCTGAGTTGTTGAGGATTGTTGTTGTCACCTTGAACCGTTGGGTATGGGGTGCGGTTCAGCTGTTTGTTCTCCTGTTCGGGTCGTTGATCCTGGGGGATTTGTCGATTGGCAGCTAAGGGAAGAGGCATGTTGGCCCGCTGAACGATGGCTTTGAGTTCTTCGTTTTCGTTTTCGTTTTCTTGCCGCAAGGCGTTGATCTGAGTGGCACTTGCCCCGCTGGGTTGTCTCAAAGTATTGATTTGTTGAGCGCTAGCCTCGCTTGCCTAGCGTATGGTATTGAATTGTTCCAGCATCTCCTTACGCATTTTTTTGTATGATTTCTAGTTGCTGCATTTAAGCGGCATCTGACCCCGTTGCCATTCCAAAACGATGTCGCGTGTATTAAAGGACTCGACAATGGTGGTGAGAGAGGCTTCTAATCCTTTTCCCAGCGCCAAAGTGTAGGTGTACAAAATTTCGGCCCGAATATGATGATTCAACCCGAAAGATTAAACACTCAAACACTCAATTAAGAACAAGCACAAACAGGATGGTAGAAGAATGGAAATGAGATCAATAAAGAACAAGGGCAAATAGCATAATGAACCAGATGCCTTTCTCCGGGCTTTGCCATTCGTATTTATTCTTAGGGACCATTACGGGACGTTACAAATATTGCTTTGAATGTTTATTATTGCACATCATTTATCCCAGGTGTTACTGCCAGCTACATTTGGCTGTTGTCTACGTTGGGCCTGATGAGGCGGCTCATGATCTTGGAAGTGCTCCTGGTGTTGGGCCTTTCCTTGCTGGCCTCTTTGGGGCGGTTTATTGTCCTAGGATTGTTTCAGGTATTGGACTTGTGGCGTTTCCTGAGTGGTGGAAAATTTCTCTCTTGAATCAAATAAGTATTAATTTTATACTTAAAAATCCACTATAGTCGTTTGACATTCTCAACGTAGTCCTGTCTTACAAGGTTTTGTTCTATTCGGTATGGTTTTTATTATTGATAACACACGTCATCAGCACTCAATGAACTGTGACAAGGCCGATGAGAGAGTGAAGCGTCGGCGGAACTTGGTGGTTGTGAGGATTCCAGTGGCGATGAGGAAGTGGATGCAAGCAGGCGGCGACGAGATTACCGGCTATTCAAGGATGAACAGACTGAGCTTACGGGATTATTAGATTAAAGCCTTATGATGCAATGAAGAAGGGTTATCAACCACCAAATAGCCTACGCTGATGGGTAATCGAATTGACACAAATTCGCGAAAGGGGAAACCATTCATATAAACTGATAATTGTTAATATCTAAATCCATTCATGATGAAAAAAAAAACTTTGACAATACTTCAGAATATGAAACAGAATGAATGAAATGTAAATTAAATAAAAATACATAATATAATAATCAAAAGCAGTAATTTACGGTTCCCATGATGACCATGAACGAGGAAACAATCGGCGAGCAATGATAAACCAACAATGCAAGGATATGTGAACCGCGTGCAAGGATGAATGACGGTGACGCCGGAAGACAAAAAAGATGAAGAATTACTATGTGAATGACGTGAAGCGAGCTTTAAGGGCACAAAGGGCAAGTCAATAGGAATTGACCGTCCGGTGAACCACACTATCCCTGAGAATTCCATTGTATAGAGCCTACTCTCTCTCTCTCTCATTGACATAATGTCCTTATTTGTACAAATTGATATAACAAGTGTTTTTGCACCTCTTGTATATATAGTGAAAGTTGTTTTTTTTAAAGGATAAATTACACACACCTCTTTAGATTAGGTCAAATTTCACATAGACATTTTGATTTTAACTTTCACTCACATTTTGAAGAGTTAGACTTGTATTTCACTCACATTCTACGTGTCATATGCTACCCTTCTTGACTCACTGTTGACTTACAAAAAGAGAATTCTGAGTACAAAATGACACAATGACCCATATAACTCATTTTAAGTGACCAAAATGCCCCAAAATTAAACCCCTCTCAATCTTCTTCTCTCGCTAACTATATATACACATATGGAACATAGAGTCACAGAATTTTCTGGTGATAATGGATCAGTTTGTGTCTTGCAACTTCATGACATGCGGGCCTGGTGGAGCCAAAGCATTTGAACTTATTGCCAAATTTTGCTATGATTTTAAAATAGAGCTCACTGCTTTTTGAATGTAGTCAGTCTAAGGTGTGCAAGAGAGTTATAAGCCAAGTTTGGATCATAAAAATCAATATCTGTAATTGGATTAAAACTTTGGATCTTGCTGAATCCAGGTTGAGTACAATGGGAATCCAACCTCATGTCATGGTTTAAGCCCCAAGATGTAAGGATAAGAGAGATACACCACCTTCTCCAAATCTATCTTTGAAGACACAATGAATGGTTTTTGCTCTCACACACAACAAACACAATCTCTTTCAAATATTACAATTATAAGTGACAAAGTGATCTGTCTGGTCTAATATCATATTAATTTGAGAAAGTTTGGTGAAATTAACCCCTTTAATATAACAATAATAATATTAAAAGGGCTCACTATCAATTTCCAATTAAGTACTCTTTAGACTTTTTAGAAAAACTTGATACTCTTGACAATAGAGGTTGGTTGAACCTAGGTGTGCAAACCTACATATCGTGGTATCAATCAAGACAAAAGTGGTAAGCTGGGTAGGCTTGCTTCCTCATTCTCCTGGGAAAACCCAAAAGGGAGAGAGAGAGAGATATTTTGTATTAAAAAAATATAGATAAATATCAATTCATTCAAAAAGTAATTTGGAGTGTAATTGAAAATTAAAATCAAAATCATCTATGTAAAATTTGATCTCTGTTAAAGGAGTGTCAGTGTAATTTATCATTTTTTAAATGATACTTTAGTTTTGTGTGCGTGGACTTGCACGGATATGTAAACATGGGTTTTTTCTATGTGGGATTTCAGTGAGAAAATTCTCTCTTTCGTAAGTCCTTTTTTGGAAAGTTGATTCTTTAGAATTCCAATTGCAAATTTTTGGTCGAGAGTTGGAGGAGTAATGTGCTTAATATGTTAATACGTTTCTTCATGCATCCAAGACTTGGGTAAGACGAATTCAAGTGAACATTATGTTTTCAGTCATATCTTTAATTATATACTATAATTATATGTGTAAATATAATTTGCTCGTCTTTTTATAGATTCTTTTGTATGGTACTTTTTTATGTCAATATATATATTTTTTGAAATAACAGAAAATATCCTTTTCTTATGTAATTTAAATAACTAAAGCACTAAGGCTCCGTTTGGTAGAGTGGAAATGGAAGAAAAATAAAAGAAAGGTTATGGAGGGTGATAAAAAAAAGTGTTTGGTATTGAAAGTTGGAAGGAAAGGAAAGGGAATGGAGGGTTTTGGAGGGATAAAAATAGGCTAAATAGTAACTTTTGTAA